ATGAAGCAATACATGCTTGATATATTTGATCATATCGTTCGGTAAGCAGATAAAAGGAATTCAACCCGTATATTACCAAATACCAAAAGCCAAATCAACAATCCATCTCGAGAGAAACTAAATATTTTAAGATAAGATCTAAGCATATTCAACTCTAACAACACATAACACCACCATATTAGTACCTACATAGAAAAAACAAAGAATAAACATACACTAATATATTTGAACTTAGAATAACCAATATTAAAAAACAAAATAAAAGAACAAAAGATAACCAAAGGGAACTAACGAGTTCTAATGCTAGAAAGTCACGTATAACGAGAGGAGAGAGAAATTATGACGATGATATAAATAAGAGGGGAAGAATGAGTGAGACATTTTAGGAAGGAGAGAGATTTTAAGAAAGAGGGAGAGAGAGATATAGAGATAGTTTGTTAGAGAGAGAAAGATTTCCAATTTTGTGAGATATTTAAGGAAAGAGATGATAGAGGGAGAGAATACATGAGAGAGATATTGTGAAGAGAGAAACCTGAGAGAGAGAGAGCAAGAGAGATAGTGACCAAAAAAGAAACTTCCTATGTCCCTCTCTAATACACCTCTCCACTCTCTCTAACTTTCTATCTTTCTAACTTTGTATCTCTCTTTCTATCTTTATGAGTAACGAATAGATAAAGAGAGAATTCTCCAAAAATCTCAATCTCTCTAAATGATAAGCCATCTAATGTTTTTTATATTGCCCCCTAGAATACTGGTACGTGATAGAGATAGGACATGAAAGAGAGAAAGAGAGAGTGTGAAGAGAGGGATGTGAGAGAGAGAGAGTTAAAGAGAGAGAAATACGGATATAGTAATAATTTTCACCTTCTATATCTATCAAGAGGGAAAGAGAGAAAGAGGGTGAGAGAGATAAATAGGGCAGACAGATTTTGGGAGAGTTTGCTGGAAAGGGAAAAACTTCCAAATTTTGTGAGGGATTAAGAAGGAGATGATAGGGAGAAGGACGTGAGACAAATATATAGAGATAGTGTGGAGAGAGGTATGTGATAGAGAAAAAGAGTGAGACAAAGAGAGAGAGAGAAAGAGAAATAGTGTGAAGAGAGAAAGTGAGTGAGATAAATCATCTAATGCTTTCTATATTTTGGGGGTGAGATTTAAGGAAAGAAGAGAGAGAAATATGGCATTGAGAAAAGGAAGAGAGAATGAAGAGTGAGAGAGGATAATTATAGAATAAAAAAATGACACATAGCTCAAAAATGACGAGGGTGTTGCTCTCGCTTAATATATAATAGATATTTAACATTTGTTTTATCTTGCTTGCAAAAAGGCTAGAGAAAATATCATAATAGTCTAGTAATGTGTTAGAAATTGTAAGAGAGGCAATCTACAAATTTTCCCGTCCAACAAAATCAATATATGCAGGGAAAAACAACATTTGTTATTTTAGAAGACTACTATCATTCTCAAAATGCCTTAATATTTTTGGTAAGTCATCATCCGTACTTTTAACACCAACCTATCACAGAATGAACATGAGATATGTATATATTGTAGAATAATAATATCTCACAAATGTGAAGTTTTATCAAGACATTAGAGTTTCCAATTACTAATATTTTACGGTTTACCAAATAAGTCCCTTGCATATTTTGGTATTTTCTGTTGGCACGTGAAGCCTCACGTTGCCTCACTTATTTTATATGAGGAATTTTATGAGTATTTGTTTTTAATATTTATCCATTTAAAAAGATTTTTTTAAAAAAAGTTTAACATATAAACTAATAATTAGTTTTTCAAGGTTTTATGAACATTCATGTGAGATGTAGATAAGCATTTCTGAAATCTAGGAGGTTTTTCTCAGAGACAAGTTCAGAAATGGAATGTTAATCCAAATTCTTTCCTGTAAAAATGGGAAGTTAGAGAGACGGAAAACACAACGAAAATTACATAACCTCCTGTGTTTACAGAAAGCTTCTTTTCTCTCTAAAGAAATAGTTCTCAAAATAAAATCTGAGTTAAGCGATCACCAGCGTCACGACACACTCCCCTCTCAGATCTCAGGTTTGGCGCTATCCTCGCTTCAAAAGTTGCTTTCAATTTGAGATGGGATATCTTAATGAATCACCTTTGTCAGGTCTTAAAGCCAATATTGGTAATAGATCAGTAAAAAGTTTGTGAGTTGTTAACCTTATGTTATTGAAATAAGGTACAGCTCAAGAGAGCGTTTCGATGTTAAGAAACTTTGCAATTTGATCATCTTGATAATGAGATGTGTGGATATAAAGAAAAAAGGATTTCAAGGCTTATAAATAGTGCATCTTGTAACACTTCATCTGGATCATCGATTTTCAAGATTTTTTAGTATTTATAGATATACTCAATCTGTACCCTTTTTTAATTTCAAATTTTATAACTCATCATCATCATCATCATAGCATTTTTTTTAATTATTTAGGATTGGCTACATAGATCATGGTCTGCCATTTTACTCGATCAAGGGTCATACCCTCATTAAAGTCAAAAGTCCCTATATATTTTTTCACTACTTCTAACTATGCCCTTTTAGGTCTGCCACTTGCTCTTTTCTAGCCTTGAACTAACTCACACCTCCTAACAGGTGTTGTACTGAGGCTGCATTGCATATGGCCAACCCACCAACTTATTCTTGCTCATCTTATCACTTATTGGACCACACCTAAGTTCTACTTAATTTATTATTTCAAATTCTCTCTTATTATCTTGCCATCATTATATTTTCATGCCATTATGAAGATTTTGACTCTAAAAGTGCATCTTCCGTCAAAATTTAGAGGAACCCCTTACTCCTATAGTATCAAGGCACCTCATATAAACCTCACCCATTAGATTATTCTCCTAAATAGGTGGTTGAGGGCCCAAGTTAGAAATATTGTGGACCTCTTCTAATATGTACTTTGATGGGCTCATGGAAATAAGGAAAAGGAGATTTAAACTAGGATGTGATTTGTATAAAGTTGTGACCTTAAACCATCCAAGTAAGGCCCACTTTCAAATTCGATAAGATGTAATTTTGGTGTTGTAGACACCCATTTTTTAATTTGGCTAATTGAATTATTTTTTTAATATTAAAAACACTTAAAAAACCCTTAGGACCAAACTATTCTAGAGCACTTTGGACCACATAACACAATAATTGGTAACCGTATTTTATGATCTCTTATCCAAATTTAAAATAATATAAAAATAGGATAAAGATCGCGTTTAATTTCTACAACAAGATGATAATTATTCCAAAATGTGTGAGAGATAACGCGAGTAAAAAAATCCAAGAATTCTGGTGTACTTTGACCAGAGTGACACAAAGTGCTTCGCCTAAGGCGACACAAAGTGTGTCATGAAGACATTTCATGTTTATATAGTTGAATCTAATCAATATTTGGTGATGAGATACAGTTTTTGTCGATTGGTCATGTTTGACCAGGGTGACATACTTTGTGTCGGATAGACTATTTTGTGTCTGTTCACCATATCCAGCTTGTATTAGGTCCTACGACATAGTTTGCGTCGATTGGTCACGTTTGACCAGAGCGACACACTATGTGACTCCCAAACTTTGACCACCATAATTTCGAATTTTGAAACCAACTAGATAAGCATTCCTAACAACTTCCCAACCACTCAGAGGTCCATAAAAGGACCTGAGTCCGACCTCTTAAAGGTTGGTCAAACAAGTTCTTCTTAGAACCTACGAGCGTAGAAAAGCCCTTATTCTTCTAGAATCATCAATCCCAATAAGAGAGACTCAAACCTAAGCCTTCAATCATTAGATCATGAGATCTACAATTCCAATTCAACCAAAACTATGATTTAGTCAATTCGGAAGAGGAAAAGGAGGATAAACAATATAAACTGAAGCCACAGTCCTGATACGGGCAAAGCTTCAAAACTTCAGGTATCCCGGACCAATTGGCCTGTTCAAGTAAAAGTCCCTCTTTCCTATTTCTTTCAGTTAATTGCATTTTTTATTAGATTTTGGTTTAATTTATTGTTATAAGTATTTTAATACAACAATCATGCTTGCTCTGCTAGTGATCTAAGGGAGGATCTATTCATTTGAATAGATCAACTCATATATCACAATTCGATTGATCCCACGACTTCCTTAGCATCATTTTAAGTAACGAGTCTGTAGTGTCAGATTGGGGAATTTTCATTTGAAAATCTCTCAGATTTGTGCCGTAAAATAGGTATAACAATTTATTAGGATGGCCCTATAATCCATTTTCATATTTAGTTCTAAATTTTTGAACTCCAAAAATGGTTTAAATCATTTACCCGAAAGACAAATTAGTTTATATCAAGTAGATCTATAAACACATTAAAATCTTGAATTCTTTATTTAGACTTGAATTCTTTATTTTCTCACATATTTATACATGAAGATTTAGACTTGAATTCTCTATTTAGACTTGAATTCTTTATTTTTTCACATATTTATACATGAAGATCAATAAGAGGGTTTTCCAATATCAATACAACCTTTTCCAATAAATTTATGAGGTGCACCGTAGTTCTACTTCACATAAATTGGGTGGGTTTTAAGTAGTTTTTGAAAACCATCCCGACCTCTTTGAACCATTGACTCATAGCGTGCAATGGCGGTGCACAAGGGAAAACCACAGTGAACCAAAGACGGTCTTTCTCTCTCTCAAAAAACTGCAACCTTCTCTCACAAAAGCCTCTATCTCTCTCTCTTAAAACCTTTATTCACAAATTGATAGAGCCAGGCCAGGTCATTGGAGCAGGAAGGCTGCAGGCCCTGATGCTGACGCGATGTGTTTCAATGGCACCTCTCTCTCTCTCTCTCTCTTACTGTCTCTGTCCAATATCCAACCAAATCCCAGGAATCCGCTACCCCCCTCATCAAGTAACATCCCCTTACTATTTTAACACCTTTTCTATTTCTAAGCATAAAACCCAAGCAAACCGTTCTCCACACCCCACAAAACATATTCCATTTTTCTCCCCTCATTCCTAAACATGGAATACTACTTCTGCTCCCTCAACTGCTGCTCCCACCAACAAGACCAGGTACTACAACAAATGAACCCGCAATACAGGCACCACGACCCCAGCCTCCCTTGCAGGGTGCGCTCGAGCCACCGTTCATTGGGCTCGAGGCCGAAGCAGCCCAAATGGACCCCCACTAAGTGCCGGACTAAGTTATCGGTGGACCCACAGAGCGTGGCGGCTCGGCATAGGAGGCACAGGATCAGCAAGAGATTCAAGATTTTGCAGGGCCTTGTTCCTGGTGGTAGCAAGATGGACACGGCTTCGATGCTTGATGGGGCGATACGATACGTCAAGTATTTGAAGGCTCAGATATGGTTGCACCATTTCATGGAGTCGGTTGGTTCAGTACTGGGTGAGGAGATGGGCTCGAGCCTTGGTTCGGGGGTGGGTTTGAGTGGACTTGTGAGAGGAGCTGATGTGTGATTTGGGATGGTTTCTTATGATCTCTCTCTTGTTCTCTGTTCTTCTCTCTGTCTGTATCTAATTAGATCTTTCTCGGGTGTTTTTCGATGTTTGTATCTAGTATCTACTTACATGGTGTTTGTTATCTCCGGTGCATCGAAATCTCTCCCAGGTGTTTTTTTGTTATGCAGTGTATCTGAATACGTTTCTGTCCCTCTCCAGGGTGTGTTTGTTCTTCCATTATACCTAAATATATCTTTTTTTCTCTGAGATGTGTGTGTTCTGTGACTTTACAGTGGAAATGTTTATTGCAGGGAAAAGTTTATCATGCTTAGCAGGCCCACGAGTACTCCCATGGTTTTTAATAAATTTCTCTCTTCAGTCCGAACACTTCAACCTTGGCAAATGGATTGGCTCGATGATTTGATTCCGCATCTCGATTGGTGATCCGGATCAAGAATAGCTGAGTTTTAAAACATTGATTCAAAGTTCAAACCCAAACAAACATAGTATCGGCGGCTAAATGCATCTTGTAGGAGGTGCATCTTCTAAGAGAAATCTTTTCGAAAGATGCATTTCCATGTACGCAAATGCAACATCTGGGTTTTTATTAACACGAAATTATCTTTGAAGTTTGGTATAAGAAGAGGAGAGGGAGACACCAGTAGGGGAAACGAAAAGAAGGTTATACTATCGAGATGAATCATGCACGACATTTAGTTGATCAACTCATTGAGAAGGAGTTAGTGGGGTGTACGGAGGTCATGGATCTCAGCACTAGTCAGTTAGACTAGTCAAGTATGCAATTGTTAATATGCAAGGATTTCATGGAAGGGTTGTATTATAACATAGGGCAACGGCACTTCTAGAAATCTCTCGTATGATCCAAAATTTTGCATACATACTCTCTTTATCATAATAATCAATTTCACAAAAAAAAAAAGGAAAAAAAAAGTTTAATTTGAACTTTAGATATAGTCAAAATGAATCCCTTCAAAAAATAAATCTAGATCATTTATTTGGTGAATTTTTAAATCTTAGCTTTCAAAAACTTAGAATCATTTTTTTTTTTTTCACATTGTTCATCTAATGATAACAAAGCCATTCAAGAAAATTGGAAATAAAAAAATCCTTCTTAGGCCTAGATCTAAGCATCTCACAAAAATGAAGGGCCTATGTTAATTGGGCTAAAACTATATTTTTTAAGTTATGTTTTCAAATTTTTCTTTTATGCGATTGTTCATTAAAATAAAAAGAGTGCATATTTCAAAATTTGTATCAAACAAATGGCCATAACATGGTTTTTTAAGGGTGTTGCATCATATTACCGTACAACTGTTGTATGAAATCATTGCCCATTATTAAGGACAAGGGCAATGATTTCATGCAACAGTTGTATCATAATATAATGCAACGACACTTTTAAAAAATCATATTTGTGGTATTTGTATGACCCAAAATTTTGCAAATATACTCTCTTCATCACAATAATCAATCTTCACAAAAAAAAAAGTTCAATTTGAATCTTAGATATAGTCAAAATGAGTTCCCTCAAAAAAAAAATCTAGACCATTCATTTTTTATGGTGCTCAAATCACTTTTATTGTAGAATTTCTACACCAAAAATGAATAATCAACACAAAAAAATTGATTAAAATAAAAGAAGAAGATTCTAAACTCAACTTGCATTGGTGTTCTAAAGGAAGGCTCTAGTAGTGCTTTCCTCTTTCCTCTCAAAGCTATAGATTGATGCTTCAATCTTGAGGGAAGGCTTTGATCTAACGTTTTTTTATCATTTTCTCAAAGCTTTAGGAGTTCTAGAAGATTTCCCCATAGGGCCTCCTAAAAGCTGTCCTAGAGACCACTTAGGGGCTGAAAAAAAAAAAACTATTTTCATTGAAATATATTTCAAGAAAAATATTTTTTTATAAAATAGATTTCATTGGTTTGGATGCTACATAGATGCCAAAAAATTGATATAATTTCTCTCTCTAAAAATTTGATATAATTTCTCTTTCGAATATTTTAAGATACTTCCTATCTCTAAAACTTAAAATTTGAGATAATTTCAATTTTGAGATAGTTCCTCTCTCTAAAACATTTTAGTACTTTCTCTCTCTAAAATTTAAAATTTGAGACTGTTTATCTCTCTAAGAGTTTTTGAGTGCTTTCTCTTTATAAAACTTAAAATTTGAGACAATTAACCTCTCTAAAAAAATTGAGATAGTTTCTCTCTATAAAAAATTTCAAGTCCTTTCTCTCTCTAAAACTTAAAATTTGAGATAGTTTTTCTCTCTAAATTTTTTTAGATAGTTTATCTCTCTAAAATATTTTTAGATACTTCTTTCTCTAAAATTTGATATCGTTTCTCTCTCTAAAATTTTAAATTATTTTCTCTCTAAAATTTAAAAATTGAAATAGTTTATCTCTATAAAAAATTTGAGATAATTTCTCTCTCTAAAATCTTTCAATAGTTTCATTCTCTAAAATTAGAAATAGTTTTTCCCTCTATAATTTTAAGATACTTTTTCTCTCTAAAACATAAACTTTGATATAGTTTCTCTCTAATTCGTGGAGGTGTTTTTGTAGAATTAATTATATTTTATTAAGTGGATGTCTCTATATTAGGGAAATCTAGTTCGTAATCAATTTCGAAGGGTAAAAACAATGACACAAATTTCTTTATTTTTGGCTTGAAATGAAGAAAACAATCACGGGCGGAAATACATTTCAATCCCAAATTTTCGATCCAAATGTCAGAAATGTGTCATTTCCACTGACATACATTTTTGGAAATGTATTTCTAAGTATCCAAACGGCCTCTTAGAATTTTAAGAGCTGCCAAATTTTTTTTGAATACTCTGATAGCTAGAAGTGGCCCTATTTATTAAAAAAACGGGAAAAGTTTATATAGAGTTAAGGCTCTAAACAATCAAATTAGAGCCCGCCTTAAACATTTCACTAAAAGAGGTTGTTTTGATGCTCAAATATCCTCAAATTGATCATCTCGACATCAAGACGCATGGACATGCGAAAACATTGGATTTCAAGTATTGGAAATAGTGCATCATGTAATGCATTTTTAGACTGTCAATTTTCAAGATTTTCAAGTTTTCATAGATATGCTTGACCGATACTATTTTTCAACCTTAAAATTTTATAATTAAAGATGAAAATATATTTTAAGGCTATCACAAAAGCTTAAAAATTTTATAATTAAATATAAAAATATATTTTAAAGCTATCACAAAGAGTTCCAATATTAAAACCACATATCTCGACACTATTTGAAAGTGGCCTTTACTTTGATTGTTTAGTGCCTCGGGCTCTATACAAACCGCACCCTTGAAAAATTCATGGATGCAGAATTTGGCTTCCAAAGTTTGTATAGAAAATTTAGTAGAAAATGCATACAAGACTTGTAAAGAATTATGTAAATAGTTTCTACAGAGGACTAGATGCTATTCGATATGTTAGTTTTTTGCTCATAGCTTTCAACCATATATCGGAATAAAGTGATTTTTGGACGATCGGAAAACTTTTGAATATAAGGAATGGTGCTTTTGAAAGGGTTATGATATATAGACTGTAAATAGTCATTTTCAAAGTTTCTGGGTGTCAAAACTGAAATGTGGTGTATCTTCTTAAGGGAACTTAGGCCAGAACCGGACTAGGATTTAGGATACCTAGAAACTTAATCAACCAAACTTCTACCATAGTTAAGATCGGGCGAAGTACTTTATGGATATCTAACAATCAAAATGACCAGAATCAGGGGAGCTTGCCGTAGTATTTCTCAACTTTCATGCCATCAAGGAAGATTTTTTTGGCACTTCCCTTCAACTAAGCAAAAATTCACAGGAGTTTAACCTCGTTTGGGCGCCAAAAACAGCAATACCATCAACAATAACAAGAAAGAACACATGAACAGAAAATTCGGCAGTCTCGGATAGTTCCACCAAAAGAAATGCATTACTGCTTTGGACAACATTATCTATGCACTTTCAGAAAATCTGGGAAAGGAAAACCGTTAGTTGGCACTTCAAACACAAGTTTGTTCAATCCTTAAGCACCATCCGAGAGAATCATGCACTAGATTTCCAAATAATCAAATCCAGATATATCTTTTATGTTTTCATAATCAATCATTTAAAAGCTTGTTAAAAAAAAAATAGAAAGCAAGATCCTTTTTCAACTTTGTGTTATCTGTAGTTGTTTGCTAGCGTGTTCCCTGCAAACTAATGAACTGCTGCTAATAGGGGTGACATTTGTAAGTTTGTATAAGGTATCCACTATAAACAATTCTAAATTTTGCTAAAAGAAGCAATTTTATTGTCGGAAACCCTAAGAGGGGCCTTAAAATTTATTTTCACTGCTGAAGATGTTTGTTAAAGTTCCAAAAATACTAAACATTAAGCACATTTAGAAACATTTAAATATTTGGAAAATAGATGGTTTAGATAATGGTGAAGTTTGTATAAGGTGTCTACTTTATACTATTGAAGTAAAGTGCACCTCAACACTACGTTGAAAATATTTGGTACCGCAAAGCCCTGCGATGATATGAAAATTTATTGTTGCCCCCCAATTATGAAATATAAAGTTTCAAAAATGGTGACGATCAAACAGATCTATAAACACTCAAAAATCTTGAAAAGACACTCCAAATAATATATTAGAAGATGAACTATTTTTAGGACTAGAAACCCCTTTTTTTCATGTCTATGAACCTCCACATCTAGATGATCGATTTGAGAGTTTTCCAGTTAGGAAAACCTTTTTCTAGTGGTTTTTTAGATGCACCTTACTCATACGGTATAAGGTTAATACCTTATATAAATTTTTTTTTTAGATGTATATTTCAAAATGCATCATTATTAGGATTAGAAATATATTGTTTTTTACATCCATACATCTTGAGGTGGAGATAATCAATTGTAGTTTTTTTTTACATTGATACAACCTTTATGGATGGATTGTTGAGGAGCACCTTACTTTTAAAATATAAGCTCCACACCTTATATAAACTTCCTCTTTTAACAAATAACAAATAAAGCTACCTATCGGTCTGGTTAGGAAATGGGTC